GCAGAGAAACAAGCTCAAAGTTCTCATTTACTTGGTGTTCTAGTAAGTTAGAACGTTCATGCACTTTATATTCGTTTTTCTGGTGTATCTGTATTTTATTTTGAAAGGAATGTTTAAAGTAAATTTTTAATGTAAACTTTTTAATGATATATTTATTATTATTTCGAGGCTTTTATTTTCATGTTATGTTGTTGGTACGATGCTACTTGTAAATTGCAAGTAAACATTCTACCCCCGGGCCGCGGTAAAATTGTCTAGCGCTTACCGGTCCGCGGCAACAAAAAAGTTGGGGACCACTGTTCTAGGCTACTGACGAGAGACGTAGTTTCCCGAAAGCGGTATAACTTAGTGACAAGAAATAAATGGAATTTTAGTATAATAATCCTTTATTATGGCAATTATACTGACAACAGTAATTCTATACTCAATATTTTTGCTACATAATTTTTATTTACTTATTTAATAACTTAAACTCATAGCTTTTTGATAAAACTGTCGTATCCTTCCGTCAATCGAGTTAGGGTAGCCAGGTTTATTATAACCGAGGAGTGAAAAACAGGCAAAGAAATACTAGGTGTGGCAAAATAATGCCAAACTAGAAAGTTTTACAAGAATATTAATACCTGTTTATTTAACCTATATCCACAAGTTGATGCTATGATGAATAAGTAACACAGAAACTACATAAATCAATCCAACTACAACTGTTCTGCCATATGTCTTGTCACGAGCGTTATAGCTGTAAACTTAAAAGTTCAACCCGATGAGAAAGGTACAAGAAGATTAACTGTACTAGCTGCCGCTAATTTTGAAATGATAGACTAGAGCTAGTCCACACCACCCACCACCAGATCTAAGGCTATTGTTATTAGATTAAATAGTGAGAACTGACCGTCAATTCTATAGCTCACCCATGGCTCCAAAGTGCGGAGCGCAAGTTTCTTTTTCTCGCGATAATGGGACACAAACTATGTCTTGTCAGTAATAGTATACCTACCGTGAATATAACCATATAAACTAGGAAGTTAATACTTCTAACTGAGTTTCAAGCAATATTCAGTATATCGTTTATACTCTCGAGCATGTAAGATATCAGTCTTCTTCTTGGAGTGGTATTATTAGAAGTATTGATCCTTCCATACCAGAAGACAATGCTCAAAAAGTAGGAAGAAAGTTTCAATAGGTAATATGAAAAATCGTTAAGACTCCTAATGACATATCAGTTTTTCATTCTATTTTGTTTATGCTTTTCTTTACTGCTGGGCGAAGAAGCTAAAATTCAATGCGGTACGATTATTGACTTCTGACAAACTTATTCATTAAGTCATTTACATTGATTTACATAATGCCATGCACTATACATAGACATCAGATCGATTAGATAAAGACCCGGCATGGCCAGGTGGTTAGGGCGCTTCGACTCGCAATCTGAAGGTCGCGGGTTCGAATCCCCGTCCCACCAAACATGCTCGCCCTTTTAGGCGTGGGGTTAATCCCACTATTCGTTGGTAAAAGAGTAGCCCAAGAGTTAGCGGTGGGTGGTGATGACTAGCTACATTCCCTCTAGTCTTACACTGCTAAATTAGGGAGCTTTGTGCTTAATAACAAACAACAACTTAACTGATGTGTATAGCACTATAGCTATAAAAAAACAAACAAACAAAAAACTTCAACGCTACCTAGTGTCAGTCATTTTCTTTCCCTGTCAAAATAATATTACTCTAATCGTTTAACGAGTGTGAGACAGTATTATGCATAAACAAACTACGAGAAAGCTTAAGTAAACGATAGATTCATATAGGAAAAGGTATGTATATATGGGTAAAATAATAATTAAAAAAAAATGGAAGATGCCACCTTACACTGAAAGATAAAAACATTGTTAGATAAAATTATTGTTTTTATATTTCTGTCAGTATGTTTTTGAATTTGAAGAATATTGAAAATTTTTACGGTACGTTGTTTTTT